GTTTAAACCCGGTACTCTAGTATCTAAGGGGGTTTGGGGGGGTCGGGGCGGGATGAACAAACACACCCACTCAAAAAAATATACGAAAACATTACAATTACACACACACACACCCACATAAAAAAAAACATGCAGTCAGAAACCCACTTTGGGAAAGCACGATCATGTTTCATACACATACTATGTGCATAACACACCATTTTTATTATGCACCCGCGTGCACACCCAAGTCCCCCACAAAGAAGATGATGATGTTCACCCCCAAACCTGACACATACTGAGCGACAAAAAAACGGTGACGCAAAGTGCCACAAAACCCAAAAGGACACCCGGGACGGCCCCATAAACCCTGATAAACCCCCGGGTTTTGGGTTACATTGGGCCCTGACAACAGCCGAGTGGGGCTTTAAAACAAAAAAAAAAGGGCATCCAACATCGGATGTTTTTTTGTATTGTTGAAAAGGGGAGAAAACCCTAAAAAATTTGGGCATAAACTTATTTTCTCCAAAGTGTAAATTTGGTTTTCAAAAAAAACCCAATTAATCAAAAATTTCAAATTTTAAATTTTAAAATGTAAGCCACTTATTTCGGCAGGGATTTTTTCAAATGTGACCAAAAAGGGAAAAACTGAGGGATGCTACCTCAGTGTTTAAAGAAATATCGGGTTTTTTTACGCCAAAGCCCTGCAAATAAAATCTTAACCATAGCAGCATTGGGGCCTATCGCCCCGGGGGGAAAGACTTTGTCTAGAGGGAATTTAAGCTCCCTCGGGGCAAAACCCCCTTTTTTTCTGAAAAAATTAATGATTGCGGAGGGTGCGGGAAAGTTCACAAAGGGGTACATGGAAAAAATTAACTGTTTATTTTTTTTTTTTTTTTTAATGGGCGAAAAAAGCTGAAATCCGTGCCCAACTTTTCCTCATCCCCCTTTTTAATGCTTATTATTCCCTTTTCATCTCCTTGTGAGATGCAATTTGTCGTTTTTTGAAGCCCTACTCTGGCTCTTTCCAGGGGGCCCAATATGGCCGCCCATAAATATGGCCTAACGGGTGAACGCGGTTTCTGGGACCTCTTTCCCCCGGTTTTCCTCACCCACATGGGGGGACTTGTGGGCATCGGGGGTTTTTTCGATTGTGTGGAAAGTCCCGGTTTTTTGGGGAAAATCAATCAGGCAGTCCTCCCCCTTTATCTCTCGAGGACACAGTAACATTCCAAGAAAAAAAAAAATTAAAGGGAAAAGTGGTTCACAGGGCTTTAAATCTTTTGTCCCATTTTCTGGCATTGTCAAAGAAAAAAGGGAACCCCCAAAAAAACACATCTGGGAATTAAGACGAAAATTTTGATTGTGAAAAAGTCTTTGTTACGGCAAAAAAGGAAAATTAAAGTTAGATTGATTTTGCTCCAATAAGATTTTTTTTTTTTTTTTAAAATTTTAAAACCCTTTATCTCGAAGGATTTAAAAATTACAACAAAAAACATTCAAAAATAAAAGGGGTGGTGGTGTAGTAGTAGTATGGGAGTGCAGCACAGCAGCAACAGTAGTTTACGTAGTAGTATAAAACCCGCTTAATATAGTAGCAGCGCAGTAGAAAACAAGCATCAACTACAGCACGTAGTAAAATAGTAAAAAAAATGGCAGTAATACAAGTTAGTAATAGAGTAGTAGAATTTTAGTGTATTAGTTTTAGTAGTGAGTATATTAGTATTTATATATGTAGTATAGTGTAGATAGTATAGTATAGTTTAGAGCACAGCAGAGAAATAGGCGCAGCAGCAGTAGAAATAGGGGGCAGCAGTTAGAGCAGCAGCAGCAGTATAGCCGCAGAGTAGTATTAGTAGTTATTTTAAGTATAGTATATAGTGTATTTTAGTAGTATTAGTATAGTAGTAGTCGTATAGAAAAGATAGAGTAGTGTAAGTATTTAGTAGTAGTATGGTATGGGGGTGGTGGGGTGGTGGTGGTGGTGGGGGTGGTGGGGTCGGGTTTTTTGTTTTTTAAAAGTAGCAGTAGTAGTTGTAGTAGTAGCAGTAGTAGTAGTAAGTAGTAGTAAAAGCAGTAGTGTTAACATTGCTGCAGTAGTTGCAGTAGCAGCAGCAGCAGCAGCAGCAGAAGAAGAAGAATAATAAGTAGTAGAGTAATGGAAACAAAAGTAGTAGTCGTTAAAATAGTAGTAATAGTACTAATAGCAGTAGTAGTGACCCTCATAAAACGTTGACCCTGATAGTTTATAGCATCAAAGGGTCTCAAAATGAAGCGAGCAGACTCCCACGATAAGCAGAGTTCCCATCTAGCAAATTTTCTCTTTAATTTTCTTAATCCACTTTCTAAACTAAGGTATTGGAAACCTCTGCCTGGTATACTGCATAAGATTACAACTCTGCAGCGGATATGTGTTTTTAATGAGAGAATAAAGTGTAAGGCATTTTATAGCTTGAGTTAATCTCGAGCGGGTCAAATGCTTCAATAAACATCGCAAAGCCATTTTCTTCTTCTTCTTCTTCTAAACTGTATGCGTTATTTTGTTTCACCAAAAAATTAATCTGATTTCACGCAAATTGTTTTGTTGAACCTTGGAACTGCTTTTGTCTATGACCAAGTCTGGATAATATCACGTGTATTTGCCGCAGCCGGCCATAAATTGACTTGTGTGGTAACAATGAACTCGTAAAACATAGGATACGATAAGTATGAGTGGCTCCAATATAAACATTATTTCTCAAGGAGGCTCCTCAACTGACGTGACTGGGAACCTCTGCTATGGATAATAATTTTGACAAACCTCTAGGTTATGTGTAGTCACTGTTGTCATTTCCCAACACTCTTCTTCTTCTTCTTTCCCACCTTGTACCTCATTGAAGTGTCGGGGGAAGATGTAACATTCGTTGAAGAGCTCTGTCACGACTTATATCCATATGTCGAAACTGCATTAGCAAAGCCCTGCCAGAAGCAAAAATAACTTCGAAGTTAAACAATCTGGGATGCACAGTTCTTCATATTGGACCGGATGTCAAATAAATCAATTCTTTTTTCTTCTCTTCCACCATGTACCTCATTGAAGTGTCAAGTGGAGATGTAACATTCATTGATTGAGCTCTGTCAAGAGCAGTATTAAGATTGATGTTCATTTCCGTAAGGCTGTTCTTAATTCCATCACTCCATATTTTCCGAGGTCTTCCACTCGCTCTATATTATAACGTTTTAGTTTGGCCTGCTGTGGCAGATAGTTCCAGGGCCTTCTTGTTAGGTGTCCAAACCACTTAATTTGTTGTTCTTTGATGACCTGTAAGACTGACTTTAATCCTAGCATTCGTCTGATTTCACGATTTCGTATTCTGTCTTTCTTTGAAACTCCTGCAGCTCTTCTAATGCATGTCATCTCTGTTGTCACAATTTAACATTCGTCGGAGGATGTAAGTGTCCACGTTTGGCACTGATAGCTTAGTGCTGGCCCAAAAAATAGTTCTGATAAGATTCACTTTAGTACTCCGGGGTATCTGCTAGTGTGTCAACAGGGAAGATAGTTGCCTCATTACTTGTTTTGCTTTGGCACATTTCGAGTTAATTTCTCTGTCCAGTTTTCCGTCGGATGTGAAAATTGCTCACAGATACTTAAATTCCTCGGTTTGTCTTAAGGTGTTGTTTTATAATTTAATTTCTAAATTGCCTTTCTGTTTTCCTATCACCATTGTCTCTGTCTTCGTGATGTTTATTTTCGTATTTTTTTTTTCCTCTTTGTTGCTAATTTGATTTAGGTGGTTCTGTAGGCATTCCGTACTTTTTTGCTATGAGTACCTGGTCTACAGCGAATAGTAATTTTGTAATATCTTCTTCATGATTAAAGCTCACATCCTTACATATGGCATCCACGTATGCATCTTCTTTTTCTTCTTCTTCTTTTTCTGCTGCTGCTGTTTCTTCTTTCTCTTCTTCTTCGTCTTTCTCTTCTTCTTCTTCTTCTTCTTCTTCTTATGTTTGTTTGTTTCTTCTTCTTCTTTTTCTTCTTCATCGTCATCGTCTTCTTATTTTTCTATTTCTTCTTCCTCTTCTTCTACTTCTTCTTCTTCTTCCACTTCTTCTTTTTCTTCTTCTTCTTCTTCTTCTTCTTCTTCTTCTTCTTCTTCTTCTTCTGTTTGTCTGTTTCGTCTTATTCTTCTTTTATTTCTTCTTCTTTTTCGTCGTCTTCTTCTTCTTCTTCTTCTTCTTCTGCTTCTTCTTCTATTTGTTTGTTTCTTCTTCTTCTTCTTCTTCTTCTACTTCTACTTCTTATTTTCTTCTTCTTCTTCCTACTATTAGTATTATTATTAATATTATCATTAGTATTATTCTGCTGCAGCTGTCGCTACTTTTAGCGCTGACGACGCTTCTATATTTACCTGCCCATTCGTGTTTTTTTTTTTTTTTGCATCCTTCCCCTTCTGCACGCACAAACGCGCACACATACTCCCCTCTCTCATACGCACTCACACATGCCCCTCCCGCTCCTCAACCCACACACACACGCACGCGCCCACACATAACATTCCTAATTTGCCAGAACGTTTTGTGAACCACAATGCAAAAACTGCGTTCGAAAAAAAAAAAAAAAACAGGCATTTAATGCAAGCTAGATAAGAATGCAGTATAATTGCTGACTCCGTGCAGTCTGTAGTTTCATTTCAAGACTAAGTGACAGCGGATAATATCACGTGTAAACATGTCGGACACAAACCTTTCAGCTGTGATGTATGCCAGGAACGACTTGCGCCTTGTGAGTGATTCATGTCGCCTTATTGACTGCTTTTATATCAAATTTATATCTATATTATTGTAAAATACCTGTTATTTGTTACAACAAATCTATTCACTGCACCCTAGATAAATTAACTGATGACCAGTCTCTCATGTAGACATGTGTTGTTGATTTGTCATCTTGGGATTTGAGATGAATGTAGATATTTATGAAAGAAATATTTTGTATGATGTATGTTTAAATGATTTAAATTATCTATCTTCCGGATTTCTTCTTCTTCTTCTTCTTCTTCTTCTTCTATCTTCCTTTCTCCTCCTGTTCCTTATCTACCTCATCTTCTTTCATTTTCTTTCTCAATCTCCCCCTCTCCCCTCTTCTGCTTGTTCTTAACCGTATCATATAGATTAAATGCCTGCTATTTGTTACTTACAAATCTCTTGCTGTTTGTTACTTACAAAACTCTTACTGCACCCTAAATAAATTAATTGGTGATCAGTCTATCACGTAGAAATTTTTTATGGTTTTGTCATCTTGGGATATGAGGTGGATGTTAATTTTTATGAAAGAAATATGTTTGTGTTATGTGTATTTAATATATTTTAAATGTTATCTTGTGTCATTAAATGCCATGGACCAGATAGTCTGGTAGTCTTAGTTTCAGCTTCATAGCAACGGGTCGCCCCATCTTTGCTCCTGTGCCAACGAAAAACACCCAGAATGTTTATCACAGTCCCTTGTGGAAAGATTGACAGACTGCTGTCTCAGCATATCTAGCATACACTCGCATTAAAGCATATGGTAGCTATCCGAAGTGCTAACACAAACAGTCCAACATTAGAAATGCAGTTCATCATTGATGATAGCAGAACTTGTCGCCAACAGTTCAGCAGTTGTCCACGCGATCAATCTTAACCAGATACGGGCACCGCCAACATTGCACGCCATTTTCTGAATCTACAATTCACACCACTACGTTGGTCACAATCGAAAATACATTCCAAATGCAATCCGCAGCTCACAGGGTCACGCCATGCATTCAACTCAGAAGCTGGGCGACGAAACTATATCCAGTCTACAAATGGAGCAAAAATACTTCGGTCACCGTCCGGCAGAAGCAAAAAATTTGCATCTGCTTCGAACAACGCCGCTGTCTAGCGTCCATTTTAACCGGAAGTTCAGTAAATATATCCATGGACCAGATTGTTTGGAGGGCCCACATCAGGAAATGAATGGAAATAAGGGAAGACATTTTTTCAGAAAGAAAGAGAGCTGAGGCGTCTGAGAAGAAACAGACTAAACACAAATGTTGACAAAAAGGGTCCTAAAATCCCATGCTATAATAGTGGAAGAGTTTACTTAACGCTGGCGGCTCCACGCATTGAGCTACGAGTCGCATGCTTCAACCACGGCCTTCTCTATTAGAGAAGGCGTTGCTTCAACATAGCACAGTAACACTTCCGCCTGGAAAGACGAAGTCATCTTGCTAAGTCCTTACTTTTTCTTCTTATCCTCATCATCCTCTTCTTTCTTATCTTCCTTCTCTTTCTTCATTGCCCTTTTCAATCTCCTCCTCTTCCTTCTTTTCCTTGTTCTGGGTAAACTTGTCTTACAAAGATATCGGTGATGGTGACCTTAAATTATCTCTGCAGTCTCATATTTTGTTGGCGACGGTAAAAGAGACACCTTGACGCGCACGGCACATACGGTGTTTTCCCCATATCGGAACATGATGGTTCATGCTGTCAACATTATAACTGCTGTCTTTCTTGATAATCTTAGTTTCAACTTTGTAGCAAACTGGTCACCCTGTAGTAGCTTCTCTCCTGTGCAAGTGAAAAACACACATAATGCCCATCACTGTCTCTTTTGGAAAGATTGACACAAACTGCAGTCTCAACAAATCCACTAGCATACACAAGCATTAAAAGTATAAGGCAGCCATCAGAAGTGCTGATACAAACAGTCCGACATTAGAAATGTTTCCAGTCAAAATGGAACATAGGCACATTCACTGTTTTTAGTCTTGGCACATTTTTTTTCTGACAGACGGTGGCCATTGCATTTTCCTCGATTTGTAGACTGCAAGGATATAGTTTTTGTCGCCTAGCATGGCGCATTCAGTGCATGGCGCGACACTGTGAGCAGCAGATTTCATTTGGAATGTTTTCCGACTGTGACCAACGTGGCATGCCTGTCCTAGAATATTTAAGTTAACCGAACATCTAGGTGGCATCTATTTAAAGCTGGGGTTACTAAGTCAAGTCCGATAATTTTGGCTGGCTATGTAGATGAGATGCCATTGGTTAAATTCTCCAAACGGCTGGGGCTGGTCTGGTAAGCCACGACCGGCTCCAGCTGACGGGCCGTGCTGCTGACGTCACCAGGTCGGGCTTAAAATGATTAACACAGCGGTTCTCAAACAAGAAGTAAACTATTTTCGACAGTGGCGAGGGAAGACAACTTAAATTTTAGCTTCTAAGTATCTACCTGCCTTCTTTAATAATTTCACAATTTTTTGCCTGTTTTTTCGTGATTATCACCTTGGCACCCCTGGCATACGCTCAGGGCACCCCCAGGGTGCCTCGGCCTCCAGTTTGAGAACTGCTGGGTTTACGCATCATTAGCCCGACTTGGTGACGTCAGCTGATCCCGGTCGTGGGTAACCCGCCAGCAATTTAATGTTGCTCATGTATTGCCCGGGTGTGGAATGGATGTGTCAGGGCCAGATCCCCGTAAGAGTTTGATTAACCGAATGGCACAAGCAGCCAATA